GTCGCTGTATCGGAGTGGGGACTTTGTAGCCCATTTTCGTGATCGATTTGAGGAGCGTAGCGTTTAGGCCCATTGCCTGGAAACCACCGCCTTTCTTGACAGTTTTCCCCTTCAAATTGGAGGCTTTGCGGTTCGAAGCGGCCTGCGTTGCCGCAATGAAGGCCTCGTCGTCGGACCCATTTTCGTCTCCAATGTCTAGGTCAACTCCCAGGTCCGCCGACAGTTCCTTCTCTTCTGCATTTTCGTCGCCAAAGAGAGCGCTCCCTATGTCGAAGTCGTTCTCCGAGAGCGCCGGGGAGCTCGCGCGGAGGGCCATGGTGAATCGTGGACTTGGCGATCACTGAGCATGCTTCGCCTGGCTGTGCTTGACGACTAAGTGAAGTTTGAAAATTTAGAGCTCGGACCCCGTTACGAAATCTTGGCGTGTTGCCAATTAGGCACGTGGGGTCGAGAACTTCGGACGCGTCTCGTCGCGTCTTCCCCTCACGATATTCCCCTCGCACAACAGCACGACCATGAGTAGGTTCACTATGTCAGCCCACACACCTCACGCACACTAATCATAGCAGACTACAACAACTACGAAACCTCGTATAACACGTCTTATGGCGCGGGCGGCGGAGGAGGCGGTGGGGGTTGGATGCCCGCTGAAGGGGGGAGCCAGAACAGCCCGAGTGGTGGGCGACGAGTGAGTGCATGTCATGGCATCGCGGGCTTTTCCTGACTCTTTTGTCTAGGACTACAGTCAAGACTCTCTCCGACCTGTCACCATCAAGCAGATCCGCGACGCCGTGTCCGACTCAGGCGACGAGTTCAAGATTGACGGCAGCAAGACCTCTCAAGTATGTACACAAATTACTGTCAAGAATGGCCGTGCTAAAGATAAGTAGATCACCATAGTGGGCCAAATACGCAACATCGCGACGCAAACGACCAACATCACATATAAGCTGGATGACGGAACGGGCAGCATCGAGGTGAAGCAATGGAACGACGCCGATGCCATGGAAACCAGCCCACTGAAGGCACGGCTCATCGAGGGCGCGTACTGCAGAGCGTGGGGCAAGCTTAAAGACCTTGGCAATAGGAGACACGTCAACGCCCAGATCGTGCGGCCCGTGGACGACATGAATGAGGTCTCATACCACATGCTCGAGGCTACTGCGGTGCACCTATACATCACCCGTGGCCCGATTAGTGGCACGGGTTTGGGAGCAGGAGGAGCCGCTGTTAATGGTGCGGGCCAGCAGGGCGCGGCTGGTGCATACGGTGCGACAGACCTGGTAGGGTACAGTGCCGTCGCAAAGAGGGTCTATAATCATCTGAAGGAAGCACCACAGACGAATGAGGGTCTGCATCAGCAGGAGATTGCGGCGAAGCTGGGTATTGACACTGCAGAGGTCGCGAAAGCGGGTGACGCTCTGCTCGAGGGAGGTTTGATCTATACCACTGTCGACGACCAGACCTGGGCGATACTGGAGGCGGATTAGATGTCGGGAGAACGTTGTGGGGAGTGCCGACATACCTGGGCAGTATTATGCGCACGGACGACGGCGCCACATTCGTTGAGCAGAGGAAAAAGTGCGCATATATAGTCGTACCTGAGGAAGCGTCTACTACTTCGTTCGCGCGTTCGTGGAAAGGAATAAGACGCAAGCCGCCACAATTGCCTATCAGATCGTAAAGAGTTAGCAAAGGGGTGTTATCTCTGTTGTTCAGAGTCACGTACCGTTGCAACCACCGTGAATACTACTTGTGTCTTCCACCCCGCTTGGACCAGTGCTTCTCGTCGACTGTACCTTGCAACCGTTGAGATGTAGTTCGCAAGCCCTGATAGCAAGCATGCCGCAGAAAGGAACCAGAACAAAATGCCAATCGGGAGCGAGAACTTCTTTTCTGCAGCTAAGTCAGCGAATGAACATGTGAGGAAGCCTGAAGATGATCTTACCTGCTGCGGACGGTTGCGACTTGAGGTGGAAGGACAAGATGATAGCAACAGACACAATCGCCATATATACAGACAGCCTCAGCCACGATAAGAAAGCTGCGAGTATTCAGCATACGCATGTTCACGAATTTTCCCAGAGGTTCCTACTTCTCTCATTCGCAGCATGATCCCTTGCGTCCGAAGCATGGTTATCGAACAGCAACACCCCAAGCCACGGCCGCTCCTGGAACACCTTGCGATCGTACTCATTATTCCTACCCAAAATTAGCCCCCAAACCGAAGCTCGTCGGGTTCTTGGGAACTTGGCTACTCACTGCTTCACAAGCACCGGCTGCGGCGCCCAGAACTTGTAAAACGGGCGAAACGGCTCGTCCAGTATCGCCTGGTCGGAGTCGTCCATTCGACTCAACGGTCTGAAGTCCATCGCTGCCATGGTGGTTGGTCTTGGGTCGGATGGAAGTGTTTGAGGTTCCGTCGCCGAGGAGCTTGGTGGGGTCCGTGCACCTGGCCGATGAAGTCATGCGCACCCAGGCGCTTGTGGTTAAAGTGCGAGTGTTTGCTCTCTGTCCGCAACTTCGATGTGAGCTTCACGACTAGTTATATTCGAATTCGAGATTATGGGGAAGGAGAAAGAGCTTGTGCTATTTGGTGGTAAGGAGTGAGTTTTATCTCGCCGAGGGGAACATCGAATGCAGATGTTAATTTTCCGGCAGATCGTGGGATGCAGCGGATTGGACCGCAAGCGATGATCGCGTTCGAGGCGGAAAGTCACAAGTAGGTCATCCTTTCCAATCCATCGTACGACCTCCTAACTCGCTGTGTAAAGTCCCATCTGGACATATCAAAATCCAGCGCACGCTTCTATGGCAATCTCGACATCAAGACCCTAGGAGGCGCCGGCTTTGCCAGCCAACGCACGACGAGTGAGGAAAAGACCTGGAATCTTTCCGATTACGATGGCATCCAGATAAATCTTGGCAAGTCGGACGGAAAGCGGTACACTTTTATTCTGAAAGACGAACTTTTATCCCCAAAACTGGAGAATGGACGAGAGCAGGCGACGGTTTCGTATGAGTACGATTTCACGAACCCTGAGGATGCGGCGCAAGCAGAGCATTCGTTTGTCTTTGTTCCGTGGAAAGACTTCACGCCGACGTATCGCGGGAAGGAGAAGAAAGATGCAAAAGCTTTGGATCGGAAGAATGTGAAGAGATTCAGTATCATGATGAGAAGGTAATGATGGCTACTCCAATACATGTGTGGATTTCGGCTAATGCGGAGTAGCTTTTTCGGCGACCAGGAAGGCGACTTCTCGCTCACCATCAAGTCCATCAAGGCGGTCTCGCGGCCGGACGACGTGGAAGAGGGATTTCTGGGTGAGAAGAGCAAGACAGGGAACGTCGAGGTAAGGCTCTCCAGATGCTCTCGGAAGCCTATTCTAATTTTGATATTATAGGAAGATGAGAGAAGTTCGTCGTTTACGGCATCATCTGTAATATCCTTATTAGCAGCATGTGTCATTGGATATGGAATCTGCAGATATATGTGCTCGTGGGTCGAGAATACAATCAGCTGGAGGTTGTGAACATCGGGCAGCTATAAAGCTGTTTCTAAACTATTAACAATATTGTTTGTATGCACTTAGCCTTTCGTTCCATAGGCAAAGCCTTGGCTACTTAGACTACATCACTCTGCGTCTTCCCTTACAGACCCTTGCTAGCAGCGACAGTTAGAACTCCTCCTCGGAAATTAAGACGCTGATAGCCTCCTTATCTACCTCATCAGTCTTTTGCTTGCTTTCTGTGAAGAACTAGGCGACGATATAGTCGGCACATCCTCGAGAGAAACAGCCCTTAGACGATATTTCTCGTCAGTTTGGACTTATGCGAGTTCTACGCATCGTGAGTCAAGGGTGCTATCAAGGGGTAATGAGACGGAAGGCTTAGGAGTTGTGGAGGCGCCTGGCGGGTACTTAGGGGTTTACTCTGACTATTAGTATCTTAATTGAACTTGTTTTATAGTGGCATTTTATAACTAAAGGGAGGGAGGAAGGGGGGTAATGTACTAACTAGCTGCTCATGTCCACGGCCTGTGATGGTTCCAATCCTCAACGATACCAACTTAGCTTTCAGTACGGACTTCAGGTGAACGCGGAGGTTCCTAGGAGTTAAGAACTTCTCCCCGTAGAGCTAGCAGGTGCGTGCATGGAGGAATCCCATACTAAACGTTAGCGAACAACCTTTCTCCCTATAGAAGACTTCGCCCCTTGCGACTATTCTGTTGCCATCCCTGTCCTATATGAGATGAATAGACTGAGATCGAGGGGCGGGACTTCTGAGGCGTAGATAAGAGAGCAATGTTGGGAAGAATGCATCTTTGAGAATGAGGGTAGGCCTTACGGCTGTGGCTGGCGTGCTTGTAGCGAAGGGAGGATGGCTGTTTTGGTTGGACTGGACTAGGGATAAGTGGTGAAATATATAACACACTGATTCAGTATGCTGTCGATATGTGGGCGTAGTGATGAAGTTAGGCCTGGAAGCTTAGATGAACAACGCAAGAGCTTAGAGAGCGGGTAGACGCAGGCATGGTAGATGCTGAAAGAGTGTGTGTCAGAGCAATTAATGCAAAAGTGAGAGAAGGGAAGAGAGGCTTGCTAAATCACATTAGAGACATCTGTATGCATGGGCGGCGCTATCCCCCACTGCTCACGTGGTCGCAGTTCTAGGAATATATGATGCATCGCAAACTAGAGAGTCCGGCTTCCAGTCCTAGGCAATATATACTGACACCCCTCCGGATCCATTCTACAGAGTTCAGACCCCAGCCTCCTAACCTTAGCAAACGTCGCCGATGTTCATCCCCTCCATCCATAATTCCCCAATCCCACCTAGATCAAAGCCCAAAGCCCACCATGGTATGTCACATCCAAACTGTCCATCCATTACTCCGTCTGCTATATGAACTGGCATACATCCACTAACGGACGGTCCCGTTATCCGTCTCTCCATTGCCACCCCTTTCACGATTCACCAGTAGGGCATTAAAAGGGGGTCCAGGTTTGGTATATCATTTCCTACTCCTAAGGTCCGAAACGCCGTCGGAGTCGCCCATCTGAGAGGCGGACTTTAATTTATTCATCCTGAGTATCTTCATTCCGTGAAACGCCATGCCACCTCATGCTTCCCATTTTGCACGATCCATTTCCACATCCTAATTTTCAATTCGCAGGATCCTTTACCCCCGACAACCCCTCCCCGCCTCCCCCGAAAGTAACCCATCTCTTCCCACTCGCCTGGCTCAGGGAAGTATAGATCAGCGTCAACTAGGGCTCTGCGCATCCCCATCCCCCCATTGGACAGAACCAAAACCTCCCGGCTTTATACCCTCCCTTTCAGTAGGGGTCCTCTCCCCAAATGTACCATATCCATCTACCCGTCCATGCTCATACCCATCACCACGCTCGACATCATAGCCGACGCCGTATGAGCTGCTATAGCCCTCGCTGTAGATGTTGACATGGGGTGTGCCGTAGCCATGATACACACCTGGCAGTCCCCTACGACCCCGAGTCCTCCTCAACCACCAAGCCGTCCGCGTATGGTAGCTGCCCAACTCGCCACGGCGCGCATACCACTCTGCGTAGCGTTGAGAAATGGGACAGAAGATGAAGGAGAGCACCCAGAGGATAGTGCTGAAGACGTATTGGATAATCCAGAGGAAATCATTGGGAGAGCGTGGCGTTGAGGGTTCCTCTGAGGACGTTGAGGTAATGGAGGTAGTCTCAACATCTATGGGTCTCTCAGCAGTGCGCACTTGTGGCACCTCATGTAGCGTCGGATACAATGCCCCCGCCATAGTTGCTTCCGCTTGCTCCCTCTCTCGTGTCTCCAGTAATTCCTCTGTTCTCAAACCACGGGGCTCAAATCGCAGCCCGCTCCACTCTTGATCGAGATATCTCTTCTTATCCGTCGATGGATTCACCGGCTGCGGTGTTTGGAAAGGTACGTACAACGATGTGTTCAATTTGACGCGTGCCTTTCCGCTGCGGTCCATGTAGCTTTCTCCTTTGTCGCGGGGGGTGGGTGCATCCCTTGCTGTTCGTGGCGTTACCCTGCGTGGAATCGGCGGCCGTTTAGGCTTCTGTTTGTGTTGTGGTCGACGTGGGCCTACAACGGGGATTGGTGGGCTTGCTAAGAGTTCCGGGGGTGAGGTTAGAGAAAGAGTTCGCGGTGGAACGGGTGGAGCGGGTGGAGGGGCGGATAGAGGGGCGTGATGTGTTGCGAGGGTATGTGTGCCTGAGGCGAGTTTGCGGGGTGAGCGGTAAGTCCACTGCGCTCTAGTTGGGTGAAGGCGGTTCTGTTGCTCGGGGTGGTGTTCCGGAGAGCTGTCTGTGCTGTCTGCGGGGGTCGCTGGCGTGACAACGAAGACCGGCTTGAGCGGTGAACAGGCAGAAACAAGCGTGGACATCACCGGCGATATGTTGAGGCCTGCGGGCGCGGAAACCCTCATGGCGAACCTTTTGAATGGCACTATACCGTCGAGATGCGTACAATCGTGCTGGGGAATGTCATTGTATGGAAGGAGAGGTGGCAGCGTTAGACTGGCAGTTTGAAATCGGACCCAGGGGCAATTAGTTAAGAGTTTGGGACGAGGGTGGTGGTTCTGCGGCCCACGTGAGAATTCAATTGTGGTAACGGGTGACAGTTGGTAGCCTGATGTACACCTCCACGCGTATGTGGCAGCTGCACCAACCTATTACTAGACATGAGACTTTTGTGGAAGTTAGGGCTAGAAGAACTATTTAGCAGTTGAGAAGTTGTACATGCCCGGGTGTCGGCTTACTAGAAAGTCAACGGACGCGCTGTAAAACTGTTGAGAGCGTGCAGTGAAAATGTACTGAATTCCCCCTAGCGACCTAATACTCTCGAGAGCTTGCACCCTGAGCACCCTAAAGCACATCTCGACCACTTTGCGCCTTCGAAAAGTGGCAAAGGTTGCTGTCCGTTGCCCCTAGGCATTGCAGCGACAAGTGTGTGTGGTGCGACCGACAAATGCAGATTAAACCATGGTACGTGATTCCAAGCTGCTTCTCGACTTTTTCCCAACCAAGTGCTCTGAACAGTTCCTCAAACGTCAAATTGCGCGTCCAACTTTTGCAATCCGATCCAGCGAAAGTGCCCAGAATATGGGAAAGATTCAAGGCCTTCTTCAGATCATGACGGCTATTCAATCCCATAGCCCTTAGCTAAGACTGGAAACGTTCCCTGAACCACCCATGTTCTGGCCTCGATAATGGTCTTGATACTATTGTATCCAGATACAAACCCCATATTATGGTATTGTCAAACTTTGTCGGGCGATGGGTCTCCATGTTGCTGTCCCGCGAAATCGGTAGTGGTTTTGCGTTCATGGGGGCCTCAGGGTTAGATGAGCCGAGGACGACGATTCGGAATCTCGAGCCTGCGTATAAGGAGCGCTCGCTAAAACGCAGCAGATCGCTTCTTTTAACCATGTACAAAAACGATCGCAGATTTTCATTTCAGGGGGCAATCCTCTGGGTCCAATCCAAAGAAAAAGCTGACAAGCGTCGGTGAGTACGATTTCTAGATTAGAGTACCGGTACTTAGCTGCTTGCTGGCTTAACAGCAGTTATAAAAGCGTGTATTCATATCACAAAGCGGCCGGATTGTAGAGTTGTCGATCTTCGTGCGACTTGCCAACGGAGTGCATTCTTGGGATAGCGCTAATTGATGCAGCTGCCGGAAGACACTGAAGAAGGTATGCGATATTGGCAGTAAGCTCGAAACAGTCAGCATAGTTAAATGATCGGCTTCTCGCATTATCGAATGCGGCAAGGTGATCTGCAGTGGTGGCGGTGTGTATGGAATACTAGGCGGTTGGCGGTTCTGCGCAGCCACGCCAAACTCGCACCTGCTAGCCATATTAGCATCATGTGTAGAACTGGGCAGCTTTAGCGAGCTGATAGGAGAGGCCATACCATTGTATTGCCTTTTGTGTCCAAGGTGTACATTTTAAAAAGCCGACCAGAAGATCCCCACCTCCTTTCAGTGTTGTGGCTTTGACCAAAGCGTTGCAGTGCAATTCCGCCGCTGCAAACATGTTTGCAAAATTCTGCAACGTTCTCAGTCAATGCCAGCTTTGAGATTTCAACTCGACAAATTCGACCCTCTGACGCAATATGGGAGGGTTTAACGGGTACTTACAGCCGTCGTCGTCAAGCATGCAAGAGAGCAAAGGAATGATTCTGTGAACTCCTTTGCTTTGCACTTTGAAGCTTCCCGTACGACTCTTAACGACAATCTGTACAACCAGACAGCCTCTTCTGGCAGCCAATCACCGTTGATTCCATCTCTGATAAGCGCTGTCGCGTATAGCCATGGGACATATGAAACGAAGTCCGCGGACATGTTTGCTAGAAAGGTATTTTGACGGCTGATCTCAGGAGTTGGACTCGAAGGTCTCCACGCATACTTGTCTAAAGGAGGTCAGTGAACTGGGAGGAAAATAAATGATGGGGGAGGAGTTTACCGTCTGAGGAAGGGATCTCTTCAGGATATGATGTGAGGACTGCGCTTCCGAGATTAGTGTAATTATGGATATGTTGAAAATGTGACCACTGTCGTAGTATCGACCGCTGCAGGCAATCAACATCAATCGATGTGTGATCTTGTCTTCATGTAATTGATATCCGAAGGGAATCAAGATACGCAATACCAAACACGAGTCAGATGTGTTTACACCGTGTACTGAGGAATCCTCTCTCATCCTTCGTCTTCTTGGTAGTGAGAAAGTCGATACCCACAACCGGGACCACAGCGTGTCGTGCAAGCAGAACCGGGCTAAATCCGAAAAAAGGGCTTACTCACAATACTCAATGATATGATCGACCTTCCTCCCGACCGAGGGCAGCGTATCGAACGGGTCCGGGTCTTCCCACCGCAAGAGTTTGCGAGCGGGTCAATGCGATCACGCCTTCTCTTCTTTCTTTCAGCATCACTTTATTCTTTTCCTTCGCAGCCAACTCTTGCAATTTATTCCACTGTACGTATTCTCGCGCATTCTTCCGCACAGCAACGTTCTTGGAAGGGTCCGCATCGTCAAGGAACTGCAATCGTGCGGTAGGAGCCGCTAAGCGTGGTCGGGATGCCGGATGGGGAGGTCGTGAACTCCGAGACTCCGAGATGACCAGTTTGAGCGATGTTTGAGCGATGTTTAAGCGATGTTTAAGCGAAAATGGGGACCACTTCAGGTAAAGCAAATGGAAAATCACGTCTCATTGTGTGTTGCACATTACTAACAGCCATCAAGACGATGTGGCAGAAAAGATGCTGAATGGTACGGAGGTCACGTGCGCCACAACTTCATACTCCCAAGATTTAACGTTGCAGCGCCTTTCTGCTTTCTGTCTAGACTAAACTTTGTCGGGTGTCTAGAACGGATCTGCGTTTTATGCGGCGACGCTAGGAAGAGCACCCGATGCCGCCAGCAATCCGAGGGAACGAATGCGAGTGTGAGGGTTGACTAGGAAGCAAAGGAGCTAGCATGCGTTGCTACATATTCAGACGCTTAGCTGTTCTACATATTATGACACAAGGCGAGTTCGTAGGCAGGCTTCTTTAAGTACCCAGGTACCCACGCGAATGCAAGAATCCACCGACGTTTCAATATCTAGGTAAGGTTTGCGTGCTACAACAAACTTGGTCTTGTCTAGTGAATGACGTTGTCTTCGAATTAATTCTGGTCGCGCAACGGCGGGGTTATAAACACACGCACCGTGTCCCCTGACCTCGCGGAGATACAAAGGTTGTATACTTGCTATTTTTCAAGTGTCTACTGGGCGTAAGAGTGTTTCAGACAGCTCCAACCGCATTTCAGAGTCAAAGAGTACCTGTGAGAAGATATAGCAAATCAAGTACAGACCTTCGTCTATAACCTCGCAAGTCTAAAGGACAATGGTCAATAGAAGAAACGGAACATTGACGAACTTGCCATGGCCAGCAAGCTCTGGGGAACAGAGCTGAGTGTGTCGTAATTTGCTAGACAGCGCGCAGTATGCAGTTCTTGGTAATAGGTGCCGAAACTCATGTGGATTAGTGTTACAGTCTGCGAACCATATCCCAACCGATACAAACTTTTTCGGTCGACAATTGCAACGGACATATTTGTCAAACAAGCTTCTGCTCTCAATTTGTTCGCAACTCGACAGCAAAGTTTGCGCAACCCCAAACCCACAAACCACAGGGTATACATTCTTCTTTGCGCACCAAGCCAAAGCCATCTGCTAGTCTATTCCTAATTCCAAACGCAAAGACAAACAACGCTCAATCTCAGGGTATATATGTATGCAGTTCCCCCCAAAACGCCACCCATGCAACAATCTGACAAAGAAAAATGTCGAAGAGTCTTTGTTTAAAGATGTAGACTATTGAGAAATAAGGAATGGATCAGGGTCCTGGGGTATCAAGAAAGCTCTTCAGCACGACATCCACCTCGCCAACAGTGACCAACAAGTAAAAGGGTAAGAAAAGTAAGGAAATGCTTGCGGTATGCAGTAAGATGGTGATGTTTCATCAAGCTCGCCACAGAGCCTCCTCCTCAATTGGCATCGGCGTCGACGACCCAAGACTCTCCAAGCTCTGGTTCAACACCTCAGCGTCCTCCTCTTCCTCGGTCCTCCTCGATGCAGTGGAAAGGGGCGTCCGCAATGGACTCGTAAACCTAGATAGGTCGGCGTCTAGGCTAGCAGAGATAGACGGTGGTCTTTCAGCGACCAGCTCCGGCACCGGAGCTTCTTCCTCAGTAGTACTCTTGCTCGCCCTCTTACGAGCGCGCTCCTGCCGAGCTTCTTCACGCTGTCGCATGATCTTGCGCTCATGTGCCACAGCACGTGCGCGGCGCTCTTCCACATCCTTACGCTTGACCATTTTGTTGAGGGCATCGCTCGCTTGGATGAGGCCGTCGATACTGATGGCGTGATTGGTCATTTGGTGGTTGATGTAATGGTATACGGCAGCGGGCGTGTCGCATTGGAGCAATTGCTTTTCGTTGAGCTTGAGGAGGGCAAGTGCGACTTGGAAAAGGAAGGTAGAGCCGTCCTGCATGCAGAGCACGATGTCCCAGACACGGTACAACGCTTCGGCCGAAAGGCAATCGGTGAAGACAGAGAGGAACCATTGAAAAGTAAGAGCTTCGAGTTCGATTTCAAGAATATCGAGGTGGTTGGAGAGCTTGGGAAGCAGCTCAACGACGTACTCGCGGAGAACAGACTGATCGGCTCGAGAGGTAAGGAGATGCTGGTCGTAGTAATTGTCCGGTAAGATGTTTTCGATCATAGTGGCAAGAACCCAGAAGGCTTCTTCGGCGGTAGGCATGATCAATAAAAGGCAAGCGGTGATGAGGTTCATCCCTTGACAGTAGCCAACTTCGGGGTTGCGACGAGAGTAAGCGAGCAGGACCTCGTTTAACTTGTGTACGCCAGGGCCTTTGCGGAAGAAAATGTTGTCAGTGAGAGTGCGCGTGATGTCCATCTGGATCTGCTGGACGATGGTGGGGTTGTCCTCGCCGTTCTTGATCAGATCCTCATAATATCCAGGTATGTGCAAAGCAGATGCGCCGCTGCACTCAGACCATATCTTGGCTCGATAGGCAACGGGAATGCCGCCTAACACCAGTCGACGGAATTCTTGCCATTTTGCTCGTCCAACCTTGCCCTTGTTGCCTAGACCTGCTACG